GGCGCGGCGGAAGGAGGGGAGATCCGGGATCACCCGGATCTCTGGGGGTAGTTCGTTCCAGAGGGTGGGGGCTCCCACCGAGAAGGCCCTCCCCCTGGAGGTCGCCAGCTGGCACTGTCTGGCTGACGGCACCCTGAGGAGACCCACTCTGTGGGAGCGTACCGGCCGATGGGAGGTAATCTGCGGCAGAAGGCGGTCTAGAAGTTATTCCATGTGTATGGCTACAATAAAGAAGCTGAGAGTGGAGAAAATGAATGAAACCCAAGTGCTAGCTTTGCCATTTTGGAGAGATACTGCTGAGCAGAGATCTTAATGAGATAAATAGATAATAAATCTCATTAGCCAGATGTTCCTGCCAATATCAGGGAACCTGCCAATGTCACACCATTCAACTTACTCTGCTTCCCCACACCAGAGATCTCCATATTTTCTATTCACTGTCCTGCTTCAGGGACCAAATGAATTCTGTGGACAGAACGTAATGGACTACATACAGTTTTGAGATGCAAATATTTCCCTTGCAACTCACAGTGTAAAGGTTTTGGGAAAGTGTAGTCAAAAGACACAATGGTGCTGAAGGAACCACAATTTCCCCAAATTTCATTCTCACCGGAATCATGGATCTGGTATTCTATAAGTTAACCCATTTGAATTTCCCTGATTCAATCATTGTTCTCTATACTTACCTAGTACTAAGGAGAAATTCCCTGACAGTTAGAACAATTAACCAGTGGAACAACCTGCCTCCAGAAGTTGTGAATGCTCCAACACTTTTTAAGTTTTTAAGAAGAGACTTGGAAGTATGGCTTTTAGCTACTTAACTAAAACCAAGCAATTGAGTCTTTTTTTTTTATGAACTAATCATAAGGGGATGTATCTAATCACCATCCAAGTGAAAGGTGTGTAAAGAATTCTAAGTGCAAATATTATAAAAGAGCTGTTTTCTTGCAGTAGAAATATGCCAGAATCAGTTTTGAATGGGCATTAAAAATATCAGGAGACTCTTTGCTAAATATGCCCAAGTAGTAACTCAAACATGTATTTCCATGAGCCTACACAGTTGTCAATGCACCCTAGAAAAGTCACTCTTCCTTTAAGGAACTGCAAAGAGGTATAGTGAGGCTGCCCATACAAGATCCAAAGCAGTAATCCAGCCAACATTACAGAAGCCACAACTATAGAGTTGATTGGCCGGCTAGGCCCAGTAACAAGATCCATGAGTCGGGGCGTCAACATTACTTCATCTATAAAGGGGCCCTCCCACTGACCAACATACACCCTGATGACGTTGATAGATATTCAACGAAAGCTAGGTTTTTAAATATTTATTAAAACTTTTTGGTTTTAACTCTTCCTGGTGTTCTAGTGTCGTTGTACAGCTTTTAAACCTTTATTTTTCTTGGTCAGTTTAACAATCTAGCTAGAGATTTTCCAGTTTGCCTTTGCTAATTAATTTCAAACTTGCCTCTTGGATTTTCCATTCACTCTTTTTAGACTGCAGGCTTGGGACCTGCAGAACTTCCATTTTTCCCCCTTCATTAGAAATCAGAAGTGGTTTCAGCATTGCTTTTCCAAAGGGACAAGGAAAGGCAAGGAAAGACTTGGGGAAAAAATTGTTTTAGGTTTAATTTCAATTTCTTGGTTTATAATAACAACACTTCCACGATTCTCAGTACAGTGAATTTTGAAGAAAATAAAAATAAATTGAGCAGTAATAAAAGAATTGCAGCCTTGTCCCTAGATCTTAGACTGAGTGATTTTGGGAACCTCTCCCTAAATAATAGAAATAAAGTCTGTAAATGTCACTAGAAAAGTCTTCCCTGGAAGCATTCTAGTATTGTAGTAAAGGAGGACTACACAGTTCTGTCTAACCTTTACAGAACCTAGTAGGTCTTTTGAATAAATGTATATGGGATGAATTTAAACAAAAGTCCATTGACATCTGCATCTGATTGATAGAGTGCTTTTCACAAATTTAGATCTTATAGCTTAGGAATTTTTACTCATCTTTGCAATGAATGAAAAGCAAAAAAATTCCTATTTAGCCACTGCACCCCCTTGCATTCATCATTATTATTCGCAAGGCACTTGCCTTCTTCAACATGGGAGGAGTAAGGAATAATTGTCATTGAAAAGTATATTTATAATCAGTCATGGTGGGTTTTGAGCTTTAATATTCAAAATGGACATTCAAATGCTGTGCTATATTTATCTAAAAGGAAAGCTCATTGTTGTGGGAAAATAACTATTAAATATTTATTATCTAACTTTTAATATTTAAAAAAAGATTATTTTTCTGCAAAAAAAGAGATTATTTTTTCATCTTGCCGCTTACCAGATATTTAAATATTTAGAAGCTTGGAAGTGTGGCTTTTAGCTACTTAACTAAAACCAAGCAATTGAGTCTTTTTTTTTTATGAACTAATCATAAGGGGATGTATCTAATCACCATCCAAGTGAAAGGTGTGTAAAGAATTCTAAGTGCAAATATTATGAAAGAGCTGTTTTCTTGCAGTAGAAATATGCCAGAATCAGTTTTGAATGGGCATTAAAAATATCAGGAGACTCTTTGCTAAATGTGCCCAAGTAGTAACTCAAACATGTATTTCCATGAGCCTACACAGTTGTCAATGCACCCTAGAAAAGACACTCTTCCTTTAAGGAACTGCAAAGAGGTATAGTGAGGCTGTCCATACAAGATCCAAAGCATCCTTACTCACTTTGGTTTCAAATAGTGCACACTTCTGGCTTGGACTTTCAGAAGCCCATCTCTTAGGTATGCAAGAAAGAGCCTTCTCTCCCTTCCTTGGGAACTGTATCATATTGTCTACCATCTGAAAAGGAAGTGAGACCGTCTTCTTCAGCCAAGTCATTTAAGTGGGTCTAATAACTGATTGGCTGATAATGTGTCATCAAGTTGGTGTTAACTCTTAGCAACCACATAGATCGATTTCATTTGTCAGTGATCAATGATCTGTCCCTAACCTGATTCTTTAGGTCTCCCAGTGGTGTTTAATAGTATTTTAACCATTTTTATTCAGCTTTTAGATCTTTACATTTTAATTTAGGGTGTTAGTGATGATAAAGATACACTGCTTCATATAAAAAAAACAAAAAACAAAACAGGAAGCATAGCTTGGTAATGGGAGAAGAGCAAACATGTGTGGCATGGATGGTGGGATAGAATAGTGCTGAAATAGAATAGAAGTTTTTCTTTCTGTTATGCCAAAAACTATGTATTTGACCCAAGACCAACAGACATTAGTGGAGTCCATTCAATACTACTGTACATGTTTATGAGAGTACATTGTAATCGATCTTGTGAAAACTGCTTCCACAAAAACTCTTTTACCTATCTAGTTGATAGTGTAAGATATTTTTTGTAAATGCTCAATCTTCAGGCAAATCACATACAAAAACCACAAATTTGTCTCTTTCACCTATAGGGAGAGATGTATCAAACTTACTTGTTTGGTTTGAAGCCGTATACAACCTACGACATTCACATTGTTGCTGTCAATAATGCTGGGCAAGTTGCTAGTCCATGGACTTCAGTGCGCACCCTGGAAGCTTCCCCAAGTGGCCTAAGGAACTTTACAGTGGACAAGAAAGAGAATGGCAGGGCATTATTACTCAGATGGGCAGAGCCTTCCAAGCCCAATGGTAACATTAAGGTAATTGAATCTTAGTTCATCAAGGTGGAACAGAAACATTGTGGAGAAAGTCATGTTATAAAAGTCATTAATGCTCTAGTACAGTGGTTCTCAACCTTTTTAATGCCGTGACCCCAACCGGTCGTAAGTCGAGGACTAAACCGGTCGTAAGTCAAGGACTAAACCGGTCGTAAGTTGAGGACTAAACCGGTCGTAAGTTGAGGACTACCCAACCGGTCGTAACTCAAGAACTTTCCCTGCCCGGGAGCGCTGCACATACGTGGTTCCGCCTCCTGCGCCGGCCAAGGCGTAGCTGGCAAACGGCAGAGACGGAGCAGGCCGACCATCAGCTGGCCCAGCTCAAGGGAGGTAAGGCACCCGCCGGAAAAGGGGAAAAAATGGCGGACAGCCTTGCTTGGCGACCCCCGTGAAATGGTCGATCGACTCCAAATGGGGTCGCGACCCATAGGTTGAGAACCGCTGCTCTAGTATATTATGAATGTTTTAATTTGCAATACTGCAAACCTTTAATATAGAACTTCATGACTACTCACAATTGTAGTTCACTTATAATATAGTTGTATGCTATACAATGGCACCTTGGTACTCTTCATTATTCAGTTCCAAGAGATGCAATGAGTACCAAAAATGATGAGAACCAAACAATTTTTTCCTATAAGAAATAATAGTGAGTCACAAGGCAGCCAACACCAACAAGTTCTAGCTTGTGCTTTGAGTACCAAATAAATGATAAGTGTTAATGTCAAAATGCACTACCAAATTCAATGAGTTTGAAAGTGGTTGAGTACCAAGGAGCCACTGTAATTTATTCTAAATGAGACTATCCTTGAAGACTACCCAGCTGAACTAAACAAAATGCAGCTGGTCAGTTGAGGTACTGCCATATCACACTGTTGCTGCAGGAGCTACTGGTTGCAGGTGAATTCAAGAGTTATTCAAGGTGCCAGTCATTACTTTTAAAGTTTTATATTGCTTTGCCCATGGGTATTTAAGAGGCTGCCTTTCCCAAATCAATTCTGCTTCCTTATCTAGATGATCCAGATTCTTCACCTTCTTAGAAGTACTATAGAAGGAAGCCTGGGAATTCTTTGTGGGAATTTCTTGCCTATTGAATAACTTGCTACAAAAAGCAAGGGTGACTCTCATGGACTTCTGAAGACTCGTGAAAACATGGCTTTTCTGGGATGCTTTGGAGATTGACTTGAGCCATCAACACTGAGAATAGTTTTAGAGATTATTGTAATTTTTTAGAATTAAAGTTATCCCAGAATACTTGTTATTATTGTTTTATTTGTATATGTAACTGCCTAGAATCTATTAAGGATAGGGGATGATATGTAATAAATCAATAAGCAAGCAAGATATCAGTCTTTGCTTACTTATTGCTAGTGAGC